ATGTGGTCAAACAGAGAACCGGAGCAGGTGTTTCCTTCCGTTTCGGGCCATCTCGATTCTTTCGTGCCTCGTGCGACTTTGAGGAAACTTGTCGCGTTTATCTGTTGCTCTCAGGAATTTTGCGTGGTCGTCCCCGCTCTTCTCTCGTCTCGTCTCGTCTCGTCTCGTCTCGGTTCGGCTCGGCTCGTTTCAACCGGCCGAACGATCAACGAAAACAGACGTCGGTGCAACGTATCAACCGTTCGTATCAGATGCGATTGCAAATGTGTCAATGCGATAATTAATTAGGTCTGGGTTAGAATTCGCGATTGGCCAGCACCCCGGAGAACCGTGAAAACCCACGCCGAGCGTCGCGGTTCGCGTCGAATCTTACGACCGCAAATAACTTATCGGTGGAATGTACATGGAAATGGATATCGGTCCAGCTGTACAACAGCAGCAGCTGTGTACTTCACCTGTCGTCGTATCGCCGGTTCGCGTGTACGCATATTGCCGCGTACGCGCGTGCAGCGTGCACCAGGGCACCGGCAAGACATTTCGTATCGGAAATTTTGTCGGGTAGATAGTAGACGCTGCTCTCCTCTTCCTCCTTCATACGCCCCCTTCCTCTTCCTTGTCGCTCCGTCGTCGTGAAACGTGTAAACACGCGGCCACCTTCGGGCGACGTTCGAACGACGTTCGAACCAACGGACGTGTAACTGGGGAAACAGCAGCAGCACGTTCTCCTCTCTGTTCCTCCTGGATTCCCAGAGGAACATCGCGAGATGATTTCAAGACAATTTTCGCAGTCGCCACGGCGAAACGCGTTCCGTCACGGTACAGAAGTCGAGGGACAATGATTTTACGTATCCGGCTATTTCGCGCCGAGTACGCTAAGCGTTCTTCCTGTTTGCCCATCGTGAAATTTTCCTCCCGTCTCTGCTCCTCGCCTCTGTTCTCGTCGATACCCGATATTCTCGTCCTCTCTGATCACTGTAAAATCGCCAAATACATGAATACGTCGAAAGATTTTCCATCGTTCGTTATTCGCGACAATTTGTACCGGTTTTTCCTTACCGGTTTGATGTTTCGCTCGGAAGATTTGTACCCAAAGGTGACAGTGGGTAGATGGACGGATACGCGAAGCGATCGGTGGCTACTTGGCTAGATAGGTGGGCAGATAGATAGAGAGGTAGGTAGGCAGGCAGGCAGGTAGGTAGGTAGGTAGGTAGGTAGGTGGGTAGCTAGATAGATAGATAACCGGGTAGGTAGATAGGTAGGTTGGTAGGCAACTAGCTGACTAGATATTCAGTTGATCGGATAGGCGAGGAAGTGATGCGAGCTGACCGGTCTACGACAGATTTTTGTTTATCCAACTGCCATCGGACATCAACTCGGGAAATATCAATGACGCACCTGTTCGTGTTCGTATTCCTGTGGTCTATGTACTCTTACTGTTTGAACTGTACTTACCTATGTACTTTACTGTTTGAACACGTAAAACGTGAACGCGAATCGTCGCGAACATATTAACCCTCTATGGGCCGAATTTTGTTCTTAAATATAAAAAAATTTAAGCAACGGAAAATCAACGATTATAAATCTATATATGCAGATTAAAAAGAAATTTACCACTTTAAATAATTTTATTATAATTAATTCACTTTGTAACTTTGAAGTAACAGCGGCTTGCAACGTTTGAGTTTTTGTGCATAGAAGCTCGAGCGTGAAATTCCATAAAACAGTTCGCACTTGGCGTTAAACATTGATGTACGTTGCATTTTGAACTGGTTGCCAAACAGTTTTTTGTGGTCCTGAATTTTCATCATCTGATGATGATTCGGTACTAAATTCATTGTCACTGTTAATAATATTTATGCGACGTCGGGTAAATGTTACTGGATGATCTTCATCGGATTTAGAATCTAATAAAGAATCTTCGGATCTATTACCGCTAATGCGTCTAACTCTAATTCCTCTTCTATTTTTATATGATTTTGTATTCATATTTTGGGGGTATTTGATATATAAATTTGAAAATAGAAGAAAGCACAACTATTATCCTAAATACACTCGAATCTACCACAATATCCCAATGTAACCTGAAAGTTACAAAACTGTATCATATACAAATAGTAACAAAATGATTATTGAAATGCAAATAAATAAATTGTTATTGATATACGAACCCAGA